CCGCTGGGGTAGAAGTCACTGACGAGACACACCAGTGTGGCCTTGTTGGCGCTGAGCTCCTCCTTGGAGGGCGGGAACAGACTGACCGAGGGTGCAGACTTGGGCCCACCTGCGGGATGGGAGACGGCAAGGTGGTCAGAGGTCTGCTGTCCTTCATGGGAGCTCCTGACCTCAGTCTTGACGTGGGGTGCAGGCTCTGAGGACCCAATGAGGTCCCCTAGTTCAGAGAACACTGTGGGTCTGAGGCTCCATGCCAGGGAGGGTTGGTCGGAGGTTCCTCGAACAACTGTCCATCTGTACTAGGAAACCGTGCGCCTGGACACCTGCCATCACCTCTCCTGAGATCCCCGTGGGCCCCGGCCTCACTGCAGACGTCTGACCCTCACCCTCCCTCCCCTGCCTCCTCCTGACATTCTGAGAGTGTCTTTTTGGGGCTGTCTATCTCTCTGTCCCCAGAGAGGATGATGTGAGCTCTCTGATGTCCTGTGGAGTTGATCTTGGGACATTTCTGACTTGAGAGTTCTGCTCTTGGGACCTCTGGGTATTTGTCCAAAGGGGCCTGTTTTTACCCAAATCTGTCTCTTCCGGAGCCTCTCTAATGGGGTAGGATATTGCCTGATTAGAGAGAGTCTGTCTGCCTGTCTCTGGGTCTTCTTAACTACAGTTCCGTTTTGACGTACCCCCGGGCTAACTGTTCATATCATTAGAGGTCTCATCCTGTGGAATCTACCTTTTTTCACTGAGGTATTCAAACATGAGGGAGTGTGCCCTGCAGAGACCCAGGACCCCACTATATGCCTCCTACCTGTCCTTTGACGACCTGGCTTACTGGTATACAGAGCCTCTCCTCTCTCCTGTTTCACCCTCTGCTGGATTCCCAGAGCCCCAAGCTGACTCAGGCCTCTGTCTGTGGCAGCCCCACTGGGGCCTGGTGCAGCCCCTTCACCCCGCCTCATTCCTGATCCTGGATCCTGAGTCTCACAGCCTGGTAGAACTTCCCTGTACCTCCGACCTTTGTTTCTCAGCCTCAGTCCTGAGTGTTCGGGGTCCCACTAAAGTCTCTGTGTGGTCACCCCCTCAGTGCAACCCTTGAAATGAGGGCCCCTAATGACCCCCTGACAAAGCAGGTCCACAGGAGACAGAAAAGAACAAGTCTTAGGGCCCCAACGTGCTCCTGGCCCAGTCAGGTGCCTGGTCCAGTCTCCTGTCTCTGGTCAGAGAAGAAATGGAGCAGCTGAGACAAGCAGGGGAGTCCCCATAGGGAGGGGAAGAGGCCAGGGTCCCTGGGGCCTGGCTCTGGGATAAGCATGAGTGGGGGCTGATATAGACACAGAAAAAGAGCAAAAACCGCAGAAAATTTCCCAAACCTTGGGGAAAGCAGGGAAATGGGCGGAAGAAAAGACTTACCTGAGATGGTCAGCTGGGTCCCTCCGCCGAACACGAAACACTGTGACACAGGCTCATACAAAAACCCCTCCCTTGGGGGTCTGCCCCACCCCAGTCCCCCACCCGCAGCTGTGATAGAGGAAGTCAGGGCCACTGCCCCAGGCTGGTGTCTGCTCAGCAAGGGGCCACATTTCCCCCTCCCCAGCAGATAACAGTGTAGATGAGCCTGAGCATACAGCAATAGGATCCTTGGAAGCTATTCTCCCAAAGGAAGTAGTTGTCTAGTCTGCTGTTCCTACCTACTGTCTCCTGGTGATTGGAATGAGTTTGTGGAGGGCATTTGTGCCACTATGAGTGAGGTTCCATGGAAATGCACAAGACATGTCGTCTATGGATGTTCACACAATCCTAACTCCTTGATGAGACTCCTACCCCCTGCACCCTGCCTTCCAGGGAAAGGTAGGGTGGCCTGAGTTCAGTGGCCATTGGAAACTTCCTCTGTCCCCAAACATAACTTCAGGGGCTCAGCCTGATCTTCCCTGGGGATGTCCTAGTCTAAGACTGTCCTGAGTGAAGTCTGGGCTTGTCCTGTAGGAAATGCCAGCCTGTCCTCCAGGGTGACCTTGGAAGCATCCCTTCCACCCCTCAACCTGGTCTCATGTTGGGGAGGGTCTGGTGGTGGGATTGCACTCTCCTCATCCAAAGGGCGAGGGCCCCATTTTCCCACCACCATTGCCCAGCATTGGGACTGAATTTATTATAAAATATTTGTGTGACTGAAGAGTGATGTTCCATAGAAGTGAGGAGAATGTTTCATCTATGTAGGGTTGACAGGACATGAACCCTTGCTGAGGCCATGGGTGGGGCAGAGGGTGTCCCCAGCCTCCTTTAGGAGAGGCAGCTTGCCCTGTAGAACAGCAGCCACTGAAATCTCCCCACTGGCCCCAACTGGAGTCCAGAGGTATCAGCCTTACCTTCCCTGGGGTATCCTATTTTGGGGCTGCCCTGAGTGAAGTCTGCGCTGGTCCTGTAGGAAATCCAGTCTGTCCTCTAGGGTGACCTTGGGAACATCCCTGCCAACCCCTTGATCTGGTTTTGTGGTTCTGGGATTGCTTCTCTGCCTCATTTAAAGGGAAACATGAGCAGCACCCCATCTGTGGCCCCAAATCCCACCTCCCACTAGTGGGTACCAGGATCAAGGGCCAATTCCAGCCCTGGGGCAGGAAAGGCCACGATGAGCTAGAACATGTTGTCACCCAGAAAGCAGGAGCCGTAGGGGACCCTGGGGACTTATTAGGGCACAGGAGCCAAGTGAAGTGGCTGGGTCCCAGTGGACCGATGCCCACCATTCACAGCCTCACTGCCATCATCAACAGAGGATAACAGTGAATTCACACAAGCAGATTCATTCACATCCTAAAGTCACCATGAAACTAAACAGTGATTATTCACCATGGGAGGATGGCAGAAACCAGATCATCACTCTATAAAATGGTAGACAAGGGGAAGAGTGCATATTTCTTCTGTTTTACTAGATATGAAACACACATGGGGTGACTTAGGAGTGGCTGAGGGCGCTCCCTCCACGGACACATTGCAGCCCTCACAAGGGACGGGGCATAGACCTGAAGTATCCCCATGTTGCAATCCTTCCAATTTGATGGACGGTGTCTTTGACCATCAAAGCAGCTAATGTCACTCAAAGAAGGTCAACCCCACGTGAATCTCTTGATGCAAAGTAGTCAACTGTTCTGGGAGGTGATTTTGCCAAATCCCAGTTGGACCTCATGAAGCCTCTGATGCCAGAAGCACTTTGCAGGAAGACGAAGCAGAGAGACCAACTCAGTTACAGATCGAGGAGCCTGGGGGCTGCATCCCGACTGTGCGAGGTCTCAGGACCAAGAGCTCGCGCGCTGCAGCCACTTCCCTTGAAGGAAAATCTAGAGGGATTTGGAGATCCTAACAGACCTCACAGGCCTGAAGACACATCCACCACATTGTCAAACCTTATTCAATCCTCACATAAAGAAAATGAAAAACCACAAAATAACAACAGCACCTAAAATATAGCCAAGTAAATACACTTATGACATTTATGAAGCATTTGATGAGAAACTGACTATTTTCAGATGTTAATGATATACTCATAATTTCTCTTTAGGTTGGATAATGATATTTTAGTTACTTTTTAGGTCTTTATCTTCTAGTAGACAAATGAAATAGGTACAGATGAAAGGATATGATACCTGGAATTTGTGTCAAAATATTGCATGAGGGAGGATTTATTCCGTTGTGGGTGGGTCAGCATCGTCAGTGGAATGGTTATTTCGGGACCTAGTTGATAGGAACACGGGGGTATTATTCCTCTGTCTCTTTATTTTTGTTTTTTCATTTTTCCTTAATAAAAACTTACAAGAAAATAAAGAGGAGATTAATGTAGGGGCAGCACCAGGGGTGGGTGGATTCTGGCATTCAACCCAGCAGGGCCATTGAGAGGAGGGAGACTCAGGTGGTCCTCTCTCCCATTGGGACCGCAGCATTCAGACCCATGAACTGGGGTCAGGCAGATGCTGCGGCACTCTAGGACCCCTCATCTTCCTTCCACCTCTTACGCTGTGATTGGAGGCAGGGGTGGATGGGATGAAGCTCCGAGCGGGCCCCGGTCCTCCACCACATTGTGGCTCAGAGCGCCCTGTCCTCGCAGGTTCTGTCCCCAGGCTGTCTCGGCTTCCCAGTAGTTCTGGTGAACGGCAGCTCCAAGTCCTGGATGAGCCAGAGGCAGAAACAGGGGCCTGGGAGACTTGGGGCCCTGAGGACTGACAGCCAGCCGGGCCGGCACCTCTGAGAGGCTAATGGAACCTGCCTCAGGGGCTGGGGAGGGAGGGTCTCTGATATGAGGCTGCTGGCCCACTTGGGGCTGAGCCACAGTGAGTGAGGAGAGACGGGGGCAGTGGGTAGAGTGATCTGGGGATGCTGAGTCCCCGTGGAAGCCAGACCTTGCTGTAGCCCCCAGGCCACACTCACCTGCCCTGAGCAAGTCTGACTTGCCCTGACTCTACTCCTGGATTCCAATGGACACTCTTCCTCAGACAGCACTAGATGCCCTTTCTGTGTCCACACGGGGCCCTTTCTCATTGACCCAGTTCTGCCCTGTCCTCCCCCCATGCAGGCTGACATCCCCTGCTCCAACCCTAAGCCACCCTAAACTAATTTTCCCTGACTGGAGCTCAGAAGTCGAGACTCATCACGATGGAGGTCCCAGCCCCCAGCGAGGGTCCCCTTGGCCTGACCCTGACCAGGCCCATCAAAACATGAACTCAGCTTCCTTTTGCCTCAGCCTCATCCCATTTCCCAGCACCAGTCACCATGAACACCACCATCATTAAGAGTGTTCCAGGGCTCCCTGAGTTGGTAGGAGAGTCCACAAGGTTCCAGAATTGTCAGGCTACGTGACATTAAACTGTTTTTCTGCTGCAGGACTCGGCAGTGTCTATACTTAGCTAATTGTGAGAGGTTGAGAAATGTATGTATGTGATGCATTGTTCAAACCTTTCCATGGATCCTTGATGACAAGCCAACCATAAACCCCTCACTTGGTAATTGCCCTCCCCACTGACCCCTGGTGGGGCAGGGAAGTTCAACTTCTGTTCCTAAAGACCAGGGCCTCGACTCAGGGGTCTGGTTCCCCCATATTGCTGCCTCTAGTCCACTGCTGCCATCCTGGGACCCTCCTCATTTCTCCCTGATCCCCCTCAGGGCCATCCCCTGGCCTTGCCACTGGGCCCTTCTCCCTTCCCAGGGGGACAAGGACTGCATCCCAGGGGCTGGCCCCACAGGACAATCTCCTGCCCTGGGTCACAGCTCCCACTGCCACACAGAGCTCACCTGGTCCGGGGTGGGGGTTGGCTGGGGGGACAACAGGTTAATGGAAGACCATGTTATAACTGTCCCTTCCCTTAGTTACCGACCCTTGAACCCAGAGACACAGCCAGACACAGAACACACATCAGAAATGTCAGATGACGAACGGTTAGGTTTTTATTGAGGACAAGTAGAAGCTGGGAGGGAGGGAGACCTCCTCGGTCTGAGCTGATCCTGGGTGGGGTCTCAGGGGTACACTGGAGAGCTGGGAAAGGGGTGTCTGGGTGAGGAAGGCCCCCATGGGTCGGGGACTCAGGGACCTAAGAACACTCTGAGGGGGCCACTTTCTTCTCCACGGTGCTCCCTTCGTGCGTGACCTGGCAGCTGACACTGCTGTGAGATTTCCACTTGTCAGGTGTCAGCGTCAGGTAGCTGCTGAGCACGTACTTGTTGTTGCTCTGTTTCGAGGGCTTGGTGGTCTCCACGCCCTGGGTGATGGTGGTGCCGTCTGCCTTCCAGGCCACCGTCACGCCGCTGGGGTAGAAGTCACTGACGAGACACACCAGTGTGGCCTTGTTGGCGCTGAGCTCCTCCTTGGAGGGCGGGAACAGACTGACCGAGGGCGCAGACTTGGGCCCACCTGCGGGGTGGGAGATGGAAAGGAGGTCAGAGGTCTGGTGTCCATCATGGAAGCTCCTGACCTCAGTCTTGACGTGGGGTGCAGGCTGTGAGGACCCAATGAGGTCCCCTAGTTCAGAGACCACTGTGGGTCATTTGTCACCTCCTGAGTCCATCATTTCCTTTGAGGGAGGCAGGAGGCCGGCCCTTGGACAGGTGATACCCTGGGTCTCAGAGGTTACAGGGCTCCAGGGACAGATGAGTCTCTGCCCCATGGGACCTGATCTTTTCTAACCACCGTCCTGGGAGCACCAGGCTTCTTGTCACCTTGCCCGTCTCACCTGTGTCTCTGTGTCCCTGTGTCCTCATGGCCCAGCAGAGGCCCTGAGAGCTTCAGCCTAGAGTGAGCTGGACCTCTCTTTCTGCCCTCCCCTTGGGTGGCCCCTCTGTGTCCCTGGAGGCTGAGTCACAGTCCCAGACTTGTCCCTAGGCTCCTGTGTGGACCTTCCAGCCTGGATAGGCATCGAGCCCTCAGCCCAGACTGTGGGGTTTAGGGACTGTCTCCTAGGCCACCCCAGTGCCCCCTGTCAGAACCGGCCTCTGGCCTCCATGCAGGCATCTGCCCTAGAAGAGGGGAAGTGGCCCCGTTCCTGGGCCAAAGCCCAGCCCAGGACCCCGGCATCTGGCCACGTCTGACTGTTGGACTCTGGAGACAGCTGCTCCTGCCCTTGGGGTCCTTCCTGCTGGTTATCCCAAGACTAACCCCCTCCCTCAGCCCCCAAGGAGAAAGGTGGGGGTCAGTCCCAAAGGCTGGAGGGCAGAGGAGAAGCAGCCCCCAGACAGAGAAAAATGACTTTCCCAAGACAGCAGAGGGTGGGACAGGTTGGGAAAGGTGGTGAAAGCCACTTACCTAGGACGGTGAGGTGGGTCCCGCCGCCGAAGATGTACCACGGTGACTGAGTCTCAGACCAAAACCCACTGGCCCAGCACCTGGAGCCTGCCCCCCGGGGGTGAGTTGGAGCGGGAACCTGCTGGGTGTGACAGGCACAGGGCTGCAGTGGGCGGGGCTTCGTCCTGGGGCCAGCAGGTGGATGCCCAGCCCCCTAGAGGCTGGGACACCCCGGGGTGGGCTCATAGCTCAGAGGCAACTCCGTGCTCAGCCCTGTCTGAGGCAAGTGCCACCCACGACTTGGCGTCACCCAGTGTGTGTTTTCCCTTCTCCGAATCCTCCATGCTGACGGCGATGCTGTGCACAGCAGGTGCTCAGCAAATCCTTGAGTGCTTTGTCCTCTCACGTGCTGTGGCAGAGTGAGTCCTGAGCTGGCTCAGTCAGACCTGCTGGACCTCTCCTGGCCTCATTTTAGGGCCTCTGAGCATTCCTCCCCCACAATTTCCCAAGGTCCAGCCAGGCGGGCGGCCTCCTTGGGTCCAGGGACACTGAGTCATTCCTGACTCACAGCGCTCCCACATGGAGACCCCTCCCCCTATGTCACCACACATTGAGACACAATTCAATTCCACCTCTTTCATGAAGCCTTCTCTGATCTCTCAGATCACCGTTTTTCCGTCTATCTTTCTGTCAGTCCGTCCATCCGTCCATCAAAGCATCTATCCATCCATCCATCATCTATCCAACCATCATCTATCCATCATCCAACCATCCTTCCATCATCTATCCATCCATCCATTTATCCATCCATCTATTCATCCATCCATCCATCCATCATCTGTCCATCTGTCCAACAATGGCTCCCAAGCACCTATCTGTGCCAGGCACTGTTTCACAAGCTGGGATGTGGAGGGGGCCCCCCAGCACTCCCCCTCAACTTTTCCTGAAGCTTCTCACGTGAAGGCCAACAAGGTCTTTGTTTTGGTCACGTCCGAAGGACCTCCCCAGTTGCCTGAACGTCTCTGCAAGAGGACCCTCTTGCTGGTGACTGTCCTCCCCTGGGCGCCTGAGATCACTCACTGCCCCCACCCCTGCATGGCTGCTGACCCCCAGACTGCCTCCCCAATCCTGAACTCCCTGTACTCTCCCACTTTCTCTGCCTCTGAACCCCACCATGCACTCCAACGACTACCCAGGGGTCTCCCATCCCTATTTTCAGGCCTGACCTCTCTTTTTGGCTCTAGATCCACATACATTATGCCTCCTGAACATATCTCTGCTTGACTGCTCTACAGGCACCTCAGACTCAACAGGGCCCATTGAAACCCCTCACGCCTCCCTGCAAACTTGCTCTCCTTCATTGTCCCCACGCCAGCAGAATTTTCTCCAAGCCAGAAGCCTGGAGTCATCCTAGAATACTTTCCCCTCATTGAGTCACCCTCTGTGTCCTAGAAGTCCTACCATAACACAAAAATACTATTAAAATACTTAGAAAAAGAAAAAGAAACACCCAAGTCACACTCTAAGAGTTTATGATGGCAAGAATCCTCAGGCTTTGCCAAATGTGATTTTATCTCTCAATAGGGTTTATCTAAATTGGAAGATAACTCATGGCATTGGGGCCAGCATTTTTCACCTCAGCAGCAGGACTATTCCGTCATGGTTGTATTAAAAATGTGCACATAAGATTTTTGAAACAAAATTTAATGTAATAGTGACATAAATTCCACACTTGTATCTGATTTAAAGAGAGCAAACATCCAGCCTTTTATTAAGTTAATTATCTAAGGAAACTTCCTCAGTTCCATAAAGAGTATCTTGCAAAACTTATAGCACCTTCACATTGAAAGGCAAAACCTTCTCAAAGGCCAGGCTGTCCACTCTCACTTTTATTAGTCAACATATTCTACAGACTCTAGTCAATAAAATGAGATGAGGGAAAAAAAGAAGTACAAGTATTAGGAAAAAAGGGAGAGCACTGTTCTCTGCAGACGATGTGACAGTTTACTTAAAAAACTCCAAGACAATCAGCTGATCAGAATTAATACAAGAGTTAAATAAAGTGACTGAATACAAGGCAAACACACAAAATTTGATCAGTTACCCTTCTACACAAGCAATAACCACTTAGGACATGAAATTGAGGAAAAACTCACAACTTCAATAAAAATTTTATTAAAAACCCTAGGAATAAAGTTAACACAAAATGTGCAAGATTTGCATGGATAAAAGAGAAAATATCTTGACTAAGGGACACAACAGAAAAGCGAGTGGATGGGAGCAGACCATGTTCCTGAATGAAAACGCTAAGCACTGTGAAGATGTCAATTCTCCTCAAATTAATCCAATATATTCATGAAATCACAAACACAACACCAAAGGAATGACTTTCAAAAATTAGTGAACCAATTCTAAAGTCCAACAGTAAGAATAATGATGGAGGATAGACATGAATATTTTGAAAAAGAATAATAATGACGGGTTTTTTTCCCTACCAGATACCAAAACATACTGTAACGCTGAAACAATTAAAACAGGGTCGAACAGACATGGGAATAGATTATAGATCAATAGAATCACAGAGAGATTGTGATAAATCAATAACTTAGTATTCGATAAAAATTGCATTTTATATTCAACAAATATGTGACGATTGGCTCTCCATTTGGAAAATAAATAAGGTTATATTCTCACATAAACAAAAATAAACTCAAGGTGAAGTAAAAACAAACACTGAAATAATGAAATACTGGAACAGAATAGAAAAATGATCTCATAATATTGAAGTAAAGATGCCTCTCCAATGCGTGACACGGATCACAGAAACCACAAAGAAAAGCTTAAACCAATCTGAGACATAAAAATTAAAAATGGCTTTATGGTGAAAGACTCCATAAACAAAAGGCATAAAAGAGACCAGGGAAAAATATTTACAGCATATATACTTAACAAGCGGTTAATATCCCGAATATATGAAGAGTTTCTATAGCTCTATAAGAAAATACAATCAACCGAATGGAAAAACAGGCAAAATGATAACCAGTAAATTCACAGAAGAAATAAAATCAGTCAATAAAAATATGAAAAGAAAATAAGTTTCACCAGCAATCAAATAAACAAACAACAAACACATTCTCAATTTGCTCATCGGATGGGCAAAATAAAAAACAAATCAACAATATCACACTACTGGCAAGGACGTAGAAGAATGGGCACTGTCATTCACTGTAGTGAACATAAGTTGGAACAGCCTTTTGGGAGACCAACTGGACACTACCCATGAACATTTCAAAAGCACATTCTCTGATCCAGCAATTCCACTTTTATGCGTGTACCCTATGGAGATACAGAAGTGCACTAGATACACACACACACAACGCGTGCACACGCATGCAGGGATTTCCATTGCAGCATCACTCGTAATTTATATTTTCACATGGCAACAACTTAAATGTCCATTAATAGGGGAATGCTTAAATACATTCTGGTTCACTCAAACGTTGAAGTCTTACAAAGCTATGACAAGAACATGGGAGAGCCATACGGACTGACATTGAAAAAGTCAATAACAGATCGTTTAAAAGCTAGCTGCAGGATAATATGCAGAGCATGATTCTGTTTTTGAAAAATAAAATCCCAACACCAGCTAGATGTGTGTGTTTTCAGGGACATACACACACAGGGGAAAGGCTGGAAATGCACAGACCAGCTGGACAGTGGCCGACTCTAGAGAGTGGCTTTTAGGGTAAGATGTGAGGGGATGGTAAGTGGAAACACTCGATTTTTACTTTATATACTTCTGTGCTTAATCTTTTTTTTTTTTACAACAAGTACATGTTACTCATATTAAAAATTATTTTAGAAGATAAAAATAAAATATATCATCTTGTGAACATTTTCATAACTACAGAAAGTTATAAAGCAAAAATTAAAATTAGGTGAAATCCGACCAGCCAGAGACACACCATTGACATTTTTCTATATTTTCTGACAAGCTTTTGAAAATGCACACAAACTTGAACAACCCAATCTCAGAAACGTAATTTAGGAGGTTTGTGTAAGATTCTTCATGATGGATGTTCCATACAATACTTAGTCACACCCTTTCTGCTGGATATTTAGGTTATTTGCAGTTTTCTCTTATCATTAATATTGTTAAGCTAGTCATTCTTATTTGTAAACCTTTGGTTATATCTTTGATTATTTTCCCCCTCAGGATGAATTCCTAGAGGCAGAATCACACAATTTAAATAAACACACTTTCTTTTTTGACTTGCGTATTACTAAAACGGTTGCACATTTTAGACTTCCACAGACAGGCCACGAGAGTGCCCATTCCTCCCGTCAACGCCCTGGTTCCGTCACCTTGAATTCACTTGCCAGTTTCACAGGCGCTCTTGGTACCCGGTCGCTGGGTGAACCGGCCTCCCCCCGCATTCCCAAAGCCCAGGCTTTGGCCGCTGCCCCTTCTCCATCCTTTAATCTGGCCTCACACCAGTCTCCGATCCGAAGCCATTGTTCCAAAACACGAATCCAACTCTGACAATCCCCCACTTAAATCCCTCACTGATTCCTTCCGGGCCCCAGGATAAAGCGCAGCGCGCACAAGACCCGCCGCAGTCCACGCCCGCTCTCCGGGCTCGAGAAGCTCCCCGCCGCGCCTGCGCACCTCACTCCTTTCTCTGCCCCGCGCTGCTCCCTCCGTCTGGAGCGCCTCCAGCCCCGGGGCGCGCCTCTCCGTCTGTAAGACCAGTGTGGGCATCCTCCCTTCCACCTTACTGCTCCTAAAATGGTCCAGGGGTCTGTCCCCACGCCTGGACATGACCTCCTTGGTTCAGACCCACCCTCTCTGCATCCCAAGTCCTGGCCCCAGTAAACATTTATGAAGAGCTGAAGAGTGGACGTCCTTGGGAGGAGACCAAGCCAAGCCCTAGCTCCCTTCTCTGGACGCCTTGCAAACCACTCCTTCTCTTGGGCCATTTTGTTAAACAGGCCATGCTGATGCGGTCACAGCATTCAGTCCTGGGACTTCTTACAGTCCTGGAACTGTGCCCCTTGCAGTGTCACCTTGGGTAGGTCACCTCACCTCTCTGGGCCTCTATCCCTGTCGGCAAGATGGGGGTGACTGTTGGACCTGCCTTGTGGGGTCGCTGAGAGGGAGGTTCTGCCTCTAAAATGATTAGTGCCTGCTGGGTATGTCCTGCCCCGGCCTCCCTGTTTCTGCCCTGCCCAGAGGACGGGGGTAAGGCAAGGGAGGCACTGGCCTTGGTGCAAAACTTAAGGGGTGCCAACAACTCAGTCATCAAGATAAATGATATTTTAATACAATATTAAAAAATAAAAATCAATGCAAACAAATCCACGCCGGACAAAATGTCCACACTTTGAATAAAGCCGGTGTCTGCTCAGGTCCACCTCTCCCCTCACTGCTGCTCACCCCTTCAGTCAGGCACTCTTGGCTCCCATCAAAGGGAACCCTACATCCCCCCAGTGACTCCCTTGGCCCCTTACCTGTCTCGCAGGCTCCGCAGGCTGGATGGGCGGCTTCCTGTTGGGGGTCCTGCCCGTGGCGCTGCCCTCGGAGGCAGCAGGCCATCGGCACCCACGGCCATGCCCAGCCATGTCAGGAGCCAGCATAGCCTGGGGCCAAGGCTCTGCCTCCCTGGGGCCTCACAGCCCACTTGACCTCTCCTGGGACTCATCTGCCCTCAGGGTCAAAGGCATCTGCTGCGTGAGCTCCCTGGAAGGGGGGGATCAGCCAGTGTCCCCACTTACTCTTGCTGGCAGCAGCCATCCCAGTGCCCTCTGGCCTGCATGGCCCTGTCCTCTGCCTGGGCTTTCTCTGGCCCCTGCCCCAGCGCCTGGCCCCCTCCAGGGCCCATGGCTATTACATCTGGGGAGCTCTCTCAGAGGGGCATCTGCCAACTGCTGTGCTGTGGTCTGGATCCCCTCCCACTGAAGCCTGTCTGCCTGGCCCCACCCCTGGGGTTCTGGGTGGAGCCCACCTGCTCCTGCCCTCCTATCCCAAGGTCGCCCGGGTCTGTGAAGCATCCTGGGGCCTGGAGGGTGGCCCAGCGCCCAGTGGGTCAGCAGTTGCTGATGCCTGAGTTCCCCAGGGTGGGGCTGGGGCTGGGGCTTCTCTTCCGGCCAGTCCCCCAGGCTGGGCCCCTGCACACCCCACTCTGGCCAGTGGATTCTGGCCCTCCCTTGGCTGGTTTGGCCAAGCCTGGCCAATTGCCCTCTGGTCATCTCCTCACTCAGCTTCTCAGCCAGGCAAGGGCCCTGCATGGAGTGATTCTATATCCCTCACTCAAGGAGTTACGTTAAGCTCACGAATGTTGAAACCATCCAGACCTAGGTCACTTCTGGGCCTCAGTTTCCTTATCTGTAAAATGGGGAGAGTTCCTCTGCAGTGGGGGATCATGAGGATGAGGGAGGTCGCGTGTCTGCTAAGCGCTGGCACACAGCAGGTGTTGAAGGAATGTGGGTGGGTTCCTTTTCCACCCTCTTCCTACTTTGGGCTTCAGAACAACTCTTTTTTTTTTTTCTTGTTTATTGCTGTAACCAGAACAACTCTTGGCGTGACCTTGGGGCGAGTGTCTTTGTTTTACAGGTGAGAAAACTAAGGCCCAGAGAAGATGAATGCAAGGCCCGAGGGCATTCAGGAGTGGGGTGCTGGGTGAGCTAGAATCTTGGAGGGAGCTCATCTCTTGCTTTTCTAGCCTCCATCCATCTGGAAGGTTTGTGCTTTGCTTCCAAGGGAGCCAAGATTTGGGTTGGGCAGGGGTGCAGGAGGGGCGGGCTGCACAGGTGCTTTGGGGATGGGGTCCGTTTTGGAGCCCAGGAATATAATACATAACACGAGGATGAGAGTGATGCTTTTATCTAGTGCTGACAATGGGGCTGGCTGCTGGCTGAGCTCACACTATCTCCCCCATGTGAAGATAAGGAAACTGATATTCAAGCAGATTCTGTACTTTCTTGATGCCATGGAGCAAAGGGGCCTGGCGCTTGCATGGTTCCAGGGCATGCTTGTTGACGATGGGTCCCCAGGGTGTCACATTGCTGGGTATATGGGACAACTCGAAGCAGCAGGTTGCAAATTCCTGCCTGTCCCAGAACCCGCACTTTTGCTTTCTATTTGCCTTTTCGGCCACAGAATCTTTAACACATCTGCTCAAGTCCAGATCCGCAGCCCTCTGGGGCTCTCGGTTTTCTATTTCAGCCGCTCTAAAAGGGGCCTTCTTGGGCCTATCGAACTGACTTTCCTCAGAGGCCCTTTAAGAATTGTCTGGTCCATGATTTGAGTTAGATACTCCTTAACTTTCCTGCCACATTTGGTGGAAATCAGTGCAACCCTTTTCATGGGATGCCGTGACAGACAAGCCGCCTGGAAGTTCATTTCGGTTGATGAGGACAGTGATGAGTAACATTTCCTTGATGCAGACAAGGGTTGTTGGGAGACATTTGTCTTTGGATCTCTGGGTTCCTCACACCTCCTGAGCAAAGGTCCCCCTGTGTTTTGGACCATCTTTTCAAGGATGTTTGTGTAGTGAACAACTTTGGAAGGTAGAGGGAACATCATCTGCTGCAGCAAAACTTGCCTGCTGTACAGTATAAAAGACTTGGGGTCCCCAAACTTGGATGTGCAGGTGTCACCCGGCCCACTTTGCATCACCCTGTGGGACTCAGAGAACCGGTGCAAGAAGATGCTGATACTCTGGCTACTGCTACTGCTGTGAGTAATAAACTGGCCTTTGTCTCTGACCCAGAAGTCTTGCGTCTTCTGCCAGCATCCACGAAACTGTGGCAGCCTTACTTTTTAGCTTGCAAGTAGCATAAAAATCCCAGACCTTCCACAGTTCTTGGTAGTGAAGATAATGAGGAGGAAGAAAGAAATGAAGTTGATGATGGTGATCAAGACTTAATGGTTTGCACAAACTCATCAGAGCAGCTTTCCCGGAACTCCAGGTTGGATCTTTCCACTCCAC